TTATTACTTACGTACGTAGTGTTATTATTATATATATATATATATATATATATATATATATATATATATATATATATACATACACACACATAACATATATGGTATAACTAATGAAATTATCTCACTCAAAAGTATATGAGTAGGTTTTCTCTCCTGTATGACTTTTCTGATGTTTAATGAGAGTTGACTTCCCACTGAAGGCTTTGCCACATTCTCTGCATTGATAAGGTTTCTCTCCTGTATGCATTCTGTGATGAACAATGAGAGTTGATTTCACACTGAAGGCTTTCCCACATTCACTACACTCATAGGGTTTTTCTCCTGTATGAATTCTCTGATGTTTAATGAGAGTTGACTTCCTACTGAATGCCTTCCTACAGTCACTGCATTCATAGGGTCTCTCTCCGGTATGAATTCTCTGATGTTTAATCAGTGGTGACTTCTCACTGAAGGCTTTCCCGCATTCATCGCATTTATAGGGCTTTTCTCCCGTATGAGTTCTCTGATGTACAATAAGGGTTGACTTCTCACCAAAGGCTTTCCCACATCTTCTGCATTCATAAGGTTTCTCCCCTGTATGAGTTCTGTGATGGACAGAGAGGTGTGATTTCCCACTGAAAGTCTTCCCACATACGCTGCATTCATAGGGTTTCTCACCCGTATGAATTCTCTGATGAACAGAAAGGTGTGACTTTCCCCGGAAGCCTCTTCCACATTTACTGCACTTACAAGGTTTCTCTTTTGTATGAGTTCTCCGATGTTTAACGGATGTGGGTTTCTCATCAAAGGCTTTCCCATGTTCACTGCACTCAGGTTTCCCACCCGTATGAGTCCGCTGATGTTCAAGGCTGGACTTACCACATTTGATACTTTCATAAAATGCTTGTCTAATGTGTGTTTTTTCATGTCTAATGAGGTGATAGGAACTCTTAAAAGCTTTTGCACATTCACCACATACAAATGGTTTCTCTCCTGTGTGAGTTCGCTGATGTTTAATCAGTGTTGACTTCTGGATAAAGGTTTTCCCACATTCACTGCATTCATAGGGCTTCTCCCCTGTATGAGTTCTCTGGTGTGCAATGAGGGTTGACTTCTGGCTGAAGGTTTTTGCACATTCACAGCATTCATAAGGTTTCTCTCCAGTGTGAGTCCTCTGATGTACGACAAGGTTTGCTTTCTGGATAAACACCTTTCCACATTCAGAACACTTAAAGAGTTTCTCCCCACTTTGAGTTCTTGGACTTTTATTGAGGGCTTGCCTATGGTGGAGGGCTCTTCCATGTTGATTAGGCTCAAAGAATTTCTCCCCAGGTTGAGCTTTATCAAGATTAGAATGGAAGCATAATTTCCAATCTGCCTTATCTTCATCACTTTTCTTTCTTACGTAGCTTCTATTTTGCCTAGGAAAGTTTAAATTATGTTTTGAACACTTTCCCCATGAGTAATATTTAGGGAGTGTTTGTCTTATAAAGTCTGTGCTTGGAATGATCGTTCTGCATGTTCTGAATTCTTGCCCACTCCCATCCTTCAGTGTTTCCTTATCTATGGATGCAGCTTGCCACAGAGGTTTGTCTTGGCTTTCCTTGTGGTTATCTATCTGGTCATCAACTTGCCAGACTTCTGGGGAAAAAATGCAATGAATCATCAAACTTGCAAATATTTCTACTATAATGTTAAGGATAAAATTAATTCATAAATGTCCTGCTGTGAACTCTGATTAATGGGCTGGAGCTGATACAGATGAACCCTCCCTATGCTCTACCATCACCACCTCTCTTGTCTGTAAATACAAAGAAATGCTGGCTCATATTTAACAAAAATAATTTAATACCCAGTCAAGCTTTCAAAATCATGAAAAGAAATCTATTAGATATCAGAAGTGAAGTGGGAATTTAAAGTGATGGGGTGAACAGAGATGGAAGCTTGAGGATTTGCAGGAGGACCCAGACCACAGGGCACAAATGTAGGGGAGACTGGAATGTAATTTGTAGGAACAACAGGGAACATCCAGGTTTGTTAAACAGGAACCAGAAAGACTCCCCACTGGTCAAGGAAATTGGAAAGAAGGATATTATAAGAAATCAAAAGCCTAGTTCTGTAACTCAGTCCAAATGATTATAAGTGTAATACAGAGCTCACAAGCTGAAAAACTGAAAATTGTTATTAATAGGTTCCTAGCAGAGGCAAGCTTTCCAAAAGATATATTATGTTTTTATAGCTGAGGGCTCGTAGGATGTCTACGGAATACCAATTCTCACTGGAGTTCACAGTAAAAAAAAAAAATTAACAACCTCACAAGGAAATGAAACATCATGAGAGAAATTTGGCAGATCCATTTAAAGGTACACTCATTCCTAGAACAATAGCCAGTAGAACCATGTGGACTTCAAAATAAATACATTTCAACTATTCAAAGAAACAAGGTAAAAACTAGACTATGGGGGGAAAAACCAGGAAAATTATATATAGGCATTATTTTAAAAACTAAATAGAGAGGGTGAACAGTAGACAGAAGTTGAAGTAGTCAAAGATAAAGACAGATTTAACAAATTAGATGACAGATCTTGAGAAATCATCCAGAATGTAGCATGAAGAGCTAATAATAGAAATATGGTAAGAGAAATAGTGAAATGATAAGTTCCAAAATAGGTTTAACAGAAAATCCAAATGGAAGACCAAGAAAATGGGGGAGGGGCAATATGCCCAGAAACAGATTAACAGAGCCACCCTAAGACTGCTGTCCTTAGAAAGTCCAGCTTGCAAGGTTGGCCCTTGGCTGACATCTGGGAATTTGGAGTTCAGGAATGTCCTCACCGTTCCCTAACTGATATAAGGCTGCTTGTACAAACAATGTGATTTAAGTGGAACTTTTCCTTTCCTTTTGGGAATCTGGAATTTTGGTATCCGCTAGGCAGAGCTTATGCATGTGACGGCGCTGAGTCTCTAATGGGCTTCCCTGGGCATAACCATCACAGACGTGTTGCTGTGTTTCCACTGCTGGGAGAAGTGTGCCCTGTGTGACCCTAGATGGGAGGGAGAGAGCATAAGGAACCCTGTACGTGGAGTCCGCCAGACTCTGCTAGTGCCTTTCCCCCTTATGATCCAGTTGTATATTCTTACTGTGTTGCTGTAATAAATCTTAGCTGTAAATACAACTATAATCCGAGTCCTGGGACTCCTTCTTGAGAATCTCTGAATGCGCTGCTGATCTTGGGGACCCCAGTCCAGGCAGTATTTGAAGAGACAATGACTGACAGTTGTCTGGTATGGAAGAAAGGCATGTATCCTACCCTTGAATGTCCAGAGTCCTGAGTGTGGTAAATAAAAGCAAATCTGCACCTAGACACAGTTCTGTGTAACTGCAAGGCTTTAAAGTCAGAGAGTAAGTATTAAAAGCTGCCATGGGGAAATTTAAAAAATCATTGATAAAAAACCCAATTAGATCAATAATAGATTTCATCAGCAAAAAAAGAAGCCAAAAGATTAAAGACTATTTTCAAAGTCCTGAGAGAAGCTGTCACCTTAGAACTCTATTCCCAGATAAACTATTGCGATGAAAGATGACAAAATAAATTATGTTTTTGGACAGGGAATCTGCCACACACAAAGGCTGTTAAGAATAATATTTGGTATTTGAATTACTCAGGAGGAAAATTACCAAAGAGGAAAAAGGCAAGGGGGAGGGTAAGGTAAATCCAGCAAAGGCAGGAAAAAAGAGGTAAAGAACGGAGGAGACAAGGCCAAGATGGCAGAGTAGTAGGACGCTCGTAGCTCACCCTCTCCCACAGATACACCAAGACTCACATCCACAGACCCACTCAGCCAACCAGAGCACCCGTGGAACTCTGACAGAACATCGCCCTCTTCTAAAGACAATAGACACCAAAAATCTGGTAGGAGAAAGGAAAAAAGAGAAAGACGAAAAGGCAAAACAGTGCTAGACAGGTCCCGCGGGGAAGGAGCGGCAAAGGAGGACTGGCCCTCGTTTGCTGGGTCTCCCCTCTCCAATGGAGAGGCCAGCGGGACGGAGTGGGAGCCTCTGAGGCTCGGATCTGTACGGAGCAGCCCTTGATCGACAGAACTAAGTTAAACGGGCACAGAGGGTCCCTGAGACACCCAGCCCGAGACCCGAACTGGGAGCTGGGGGCCGGGACAGGCTGCCGGAGCCAGGTGGAGGACGGGGATGGCTGCACTGAGGCAGCCCCGGGGAACTGCGCACTGTGGATGAGTGCATGCACAGGGCAGAAGAACCTGGGCCCTCCATGAAACAGCACGGCTGATGTGCCCTGGGGGTAAGGGTGCATACCTCCATCTCTGAAAACCCACGGAAGGTTTTCGAGGAGGAGAGGCAGGGCTCAGGCGCTGCCGCCATATCCTCCAGCACTTGGCACCCAGGCGGGGGCAGGGGCGAAACCTGAGTCCACGCCTGGGGGCTCGGCAGCCTCAAAGGCCAGTGACATATTTGCAGCCCGAGTCAGATAGGATCTTTCTGCCCTGGTGCCTCGCAAAGTTCTCGCCGCCAGGACAAACAAGGAGCTGAGTTTGGACATGGAGCAGGGGCGGGGCTGTTTCACAGTCTTCCCAGGGCCTGCCTGTGGAGCGCCAACCCAGGGCGGAGCTGCGGAGCGACCAGCACCAGGGGACAGTGGGTGGCCCCCCGCCCAAGGCACAGCGCGCAGAGGGACGGAGCGACCTGCACCAGGAGATGGCAGGTGGCCCCCCGCCTTTCCAGCAGGAATGCTGTGCTGGGAGGGGTCGTGATCTGCTTGCTGACAGGCACTGGGAGCAGCACAGACGAGGGCACCACTGAGGAGCCTCTGGAAACAGCAAGCTAAGTTCATGAAATGGCGAAGACAGAAAGACTTCTCACTGCTGGTGGGAATGCAGTTTGGTGCAGCCACTGTGGAAAACACTATGGAGATTCCTCAAAAGACTAGAAATAGACTTACCATATGACCCAGGAATCCCATTCCTGGGCATATATCCAGAAGGAACCCTACTTCAGGATGACATCTGCACCCCAATGTTCATAGCAGCATTATTTACAATAACCAAGACATGGAGACAGCCTAAATGTCCATCAACGGATGACTGGATAAAGAAGATGTGGTATATTTATACAGTGGAATACTACTCAGCCATAAAAACCAACATAACGCCATTTGCAGCAACATGGATGTTCCTGGAGAATGTCATTCTAAGCGAAGTAAGCCAGAAAGAGAAAGAAAAATACCATATGAGATCGCTCATATGTGGAATCTAAAAAAAAAAACAACAAAGCATAAATATGAAACAGAAATAGACTCATAGACATAGAATGCAAATTTGTGGTTGCCAAGGGGGCGGGGGGTGGGAAGGGACAGACTGGGATTTTAAAATGCAGAACAGATAACCAAGATTATACTGTATAGCACAGGGAAATATAAACAAGATCTTGTGGTAGCTCATAGTGAAAAAAAATGTGACAATGAATATATGTATGTTCATATATAACTGAAAAATTGTGCTCTACACTGGAATTTGACATAACATTGTAAAATGATTATAAATCAATAAAAATGTTAAAAAAAAAAGAGCACACAGTCTCCAGGAGAACACCCACTCCCCACCTTTTTTTTTAAATTGTTTTTACCTGTTGTATTTTCTATTACCTTTTTAATTTTTACTTTTTAAACAATTATATATCCCCCCAGTTTTAATCCCTTTTAAATTTTTCTTTTAAAATATTATTTAAAAAAATCCATGGCACGTAATTTTTCTCTCTCTTGGTTTTGATCTCCTCTTATTAATTATAAACTTGATTATATTACTTTTTCCTCTTTTCTCCTTTTTTAAAGGTTTTTAAGAGATGTCTCAACCCGATGCTATTCTGCTTCAACTTGCTCTTCAATTATTCATTATACACTGTTTTCAAACCTTTTCTCCTCCCGTTTTCCAAAATTCTCTCTTTATCATACCTTTTTTTAATCTGTTCTATTTTTATTACATTTTTAAATTTCTACTTTCTAAACAATTGTATATGCTTCTAGTTTTAACTCCTTTTTAAATTTTTCTTTCTAAACAATTGTATATGCTTCTTTTAATTCCTTTAAAATTTTTCTTTTAAAGTAGTTATATTACTTTTTTTAAAAAATCCACCTGATTTCATTTTCATTTATTTTGGGTTTGATCTCCTGTTATTGATTATAAATAGGTTTCAAATATCATTTTTTGATATTGTTCCTTTTTTTAAAGGGCTTTTAAAAAGATGTCTCAACTCAAATGCTAGTATGATTCAAATTGCACTTCTGTAATCGATTATACACTGTTTTCAAACCTTTTTTCACCCTTCTTTTAAACATCTCTTTCTCTCTCTCTCCTTTTTTTATTTTTTAAGTTTTATTCATACATAGGCATTAGATAGATAAATAAATAAACTCCTTTAAGGACCACAATAGATAAATGATCTCCATAAGCCACAGTGCCAGAGAGATATGAGCAAGATGAAGAAGCAGAGAAACCATTCCCAATTAAAAGAACAAGAGAAATCCCTTGAAAGAACAATCAATGAAATAGACATCAATAGCCTACTAGATGAAGATTTCAAAAAAGGAGTGATCAAAGTATTGAAGGAACTAAAA